GTGTTGTTGTGTCTATTAGTAATTTAATTAACTATATATATATATATATATATATATATATATATTGCTCAACATATCAAATCCTGCTATGTAGATACTAAAATGTTACACGGTAATAAAGATTCCGATTTCACAGGTGATAGACGCGTCATCTGGGTCGGATTGGGACGATGATAACGATGCTGCGTACGCAACATGCCCTAGCACACCCAGGAGTACCAGTTTTGTTGGACCATCAGATCTTACTCAAGGACAGGCGTTCCTCCTCCCCGGGACAGCCTCGTACTCGCCTGACACCCGCGCGAGAGATAATGAGGAAATAGTCGGTGTGAGTGATGACGGATTAAGCTTCAGTGACGCGCGGTTGGGCGGTTCGCAAAAGGATACGATCCCTAGGGTAGACCTGTCGAGTAGTGTATCTAGCAGCCCTGTGCCAGCACATGACCTGGAGGACGATCGTCTCAAACCGGCGCGGCCGGGTGGTAGGGTCCGCAGGGTTTCTGAGGATTTCGACAACGCACGGGTATGAGCTTGTTCAGGTCCCCGTGGCCCTGTTGGGCGGGTGTGCTGGGTTGTACCGTGGTTCTAAGTGCTGTTGGTGTGATTGGTCCGTAGACCAGATCCCTCTCACAGAGACGAGTTTTGAGTGTGGCGGGTGTATGATGTTCGGTATTGCTGGTTCACTTTTTTCCAGCAGTGAAGTGTGTGTTTTGAGATTGTTTGGCATGTTAACACGTGAACGAACTGCGGAGCATCGTGTGGAGATGTGGCCTTTCCGTCAGATAAACATGAAGTTTACATTTCTCAGACATACGTATGAGGGTGATCCGTGTCTCTTGAATTGCAGAGCATTAGGACCTAACTCCATGCATTGACAAATGGGATTTGTACATATGGTCCGCTATATTTGCTCGGGGTGCGCCTCTTCCGGTATTTTGATAATTCTATCTCTGCTTTGTAAAATATTTGTTCAACCAAAAGTCTATATTAAGTCTGTTTTGTTTGTCTACCTTCTAACATATTGTATTGTCGCCCATCCCAAGTGAATGTAAAATACTTTCTATGTGGCTTGTAAATCTTCATTTGTTCTGTTTATTCACTATCGTTATTTTGATCTATTCCTTCACCTACTAGTCGGAAATGAAAGGGGTGCTGCATGTCGAGGTCATCGATGCTCAGGTATGGCCCTGTTCTCGACCGGGTCTCGGTTGAGCTCTATTCTACCGCACTTTAAGTACATACGGAAAATAGTTTTTAGTTGGTTCACAGATAGTGTCAAAAAGATTTCCCGTGATTTTCATGTACATATTAACAGACAGATCTACGTTTTGTTCCTATGTGTCTGATAACGTCTTGTCAGGAACGGCTTGCTGTATAATGCAGAAGACTGCATAAATACGCGAGATTTGTATGCCCGCTTACATTTTAACGAGAAAATACACATATGCGTATGCTAAATCCTCAATACCCTTATACCCATCTGTTTATATTCAAGTTCCTGAGATGTTACTATTGTAGACATATAAGTATGTTAGTTTTCTTGGTAGCAAGGAGCGCATGCACGCTTAGTTAGAACTTGAGTCCATATGAATACAAACGGACATTTTTGTATGTCCGCTTGGCTAATTATAGATGTAGAATTATCATGTATTTATTTTGTTGTGGCTTAACAGTTATTTGAATAAATAATATCATATGTTTATTGTGCTTCGACCACATTTACATCGAACCCCTGAATAACCTGATCAACAATATGGATTAATTGACATGAAAACTTAAATTCATACGAATAGTCATGGGGCATGAGATGCGGCTAACGAGTGGGCTACGAATCTGCTAGTGTGCAATACGAAGTCAGTCGAATCGGCTGGATGCAGAGATGCACAGCATGTTGAGTACTAATAAGAGTGATTCGTGTATGTGTTTGTGAAAGTAGTTATGTACACCATTTGCTACTTGTCCACTGAGGGGTGTCATTATATGGTTGTTTAGGGTTTAGGGTTTCTAAGAGGTGTTATGACATGGTTGTTTTGTAGAGCTGCAGATATCCACGTACTACTTCTCAGCAGAACATAGCTTGCATGCCTTACGAAAATGTACGCTGCATATGCTTTGTCCGCGTCACACGCACATTTGTTTCGAACACGTGCTATCCGCATAGACCGTAAGTTATTGTTTTATATATGTTTGCGTCACTTTTGCCTATTCTTCCGCTTACCCGAGGTTAAAATTCCTAATTTTCATCACGTCCACGCGTCTTTTCTCACATCAATGTTTAGGGTTTGCCACAGCAGTGGATGCGGTCACGGGTGTCATTCGTGGTAATATCCATTGGTCTACAGATCTACCGAACATCTGTGCACAAGGCACGCTTAGCTGACCCAGTTTGGCATCAGGTATGGTTGTGGAGTGTGGATGAGTGTTGTCATATCTGTGTGGTTACTCGTGTGGGTTTGTGTGTAGGGCTTCGTTGTGTTTCTATTTCGCCAGTTCACTTACGAACACAGATACACAGACTCGATTTCCTTAAATATTTACATGCGCCATGTTTCTGTGTGTTACATTAAATCAAATATAGTGAATATATTGATGTATGCTTACATATAAGTATATATATATTATTTTTATTCTTATTAGTATTTTCGTTGTTATTATTATATTATTATGTGTATATATATATACATATGTGTGTGTGCGTGTTTGCGTATATATAAATATAAATAATTCATCATACAACTGTACTTCATCAGATTCGCATGTGTTCTGATTATAGTTTGGTAATTGAACTTTCCCATCATCATCGCCATCGCTGTTAACTCTCGAGTCTTGTCTTCTTAGGAGTTGCGATTTCTTCTGAATGGTATCAACGAAATCTACGACATGACCTTTGCGATATACAGAAAAAATATAAAATACGGCCACTCATCCATCAACATCAAGGAGGTGCTGCGCGAACTCACGGCTCGTAAGTATTGTATTGTCTGTCCAGTTTTGAGTTTTGGCACTATCAGCTTAGAGTTTCGGGGTTTATAGCCCCACAAACCCTCGCCCCCAACTCTCAATGAATGTGTATGTGTATCCCGACACTGTTCTGTTGTCATTAAATCTTCCTATTTCTCGTGCCGAACCCGGCAAAATTCCCATTATTGGCTTCCTTGTGGTCCACGCTTTTACTTTGTTGTTCTGAATTTCAGTGTTTCGCAGGAAACGAAAAATATATATACTTTTTTTTCTCTTGTTTGTATCAATAGAACCTGGATGCTACAAGGACTTCTTCCTACCGATTATAGAGGACTACGCCACCACTGCCACGGACAAAGACATCCGAGGACAAATGCACGAGGCATACGTGCCCAAGTATCGAGTGGCCGGTACGTTGGATACACGCACACCCATGCACCCAAGCACGCCATATGTATGTATGTATATTTATATGTATATGTCTGTGTGTATATATATATATGTATATGTATGTATTTATGTATGTATGTATACGTGTGTGTGTGTTACATGCACAAATAAATGCATATGTAAATAGTACGCGTATATATTACTGTCTATATATTACTGTCACAGGTTACTGTACTATCGTATATAGTTGATCATGTATACTTGGTTACTGACCTCCTTTCGGATCATTTGGTGCTATATCATTCCAATAAGCGCTCGTCAAACACAGTAATATTGTCGCTGGTTATTTCTACATATCAAAGTATATGCGTAAAAATATTCGTGTTTCTATTTATTTACCTATACATCTTTGCGTATTGCAATGCGCTTTCCGACCATTCCACAAGGTTACGAATGGTTCAACTGAAATATACGGCCTATATTCTACTCGCCATATGGCATCCTAAATACTGTGGTCTCATTTATATTTAATATATATATATACATATACCTTTATATCTTTATATATATATATATATATATATACTTACTTATATTATTA